CCTGTTTTACGTTTGGAGTTTTGTTTACTATAGGCATCAAGAAGGGCAGCCTCTGGATCCACATAAGGATTTCTCTCTTTGATTTCTAGTATCCCCATCCTCCTACCACCTCGTCAAAGACTCATGTTTTGCCATGCTAAGGAAGAAAACTCGTAACTTGATTTTCTACCATTTTTACTGGTATGTTTCCTTCCAATGATGAGGATAGTGATGGAGTGGTACATTATTTTTTGAGTTTGGGTTGCCCAGACTGGAGTGCAGTGGCACAATCTAAACTCACCCACAGTCTCGAACACCTGGGCTCAAGTTCAAGTGAGTCACCCTCCTCAGTCTCTCCAGTAACTGAGACTACAGGTGCACACCACAATGACAGGGTATTTTTTTTTTTTTTTGGTAGAAATGAGATCTTGCTATGTTGTCCAAGCTGGTCTTGAACTTCTGGGTTCAAGCAATCCTCCCACCTTGGCCTCCCAAAGTGCTGAGATACAGGCATGAGCCACAACACCTCATTATTTGACTTTTAATGAGCTTGCATATTTTGCCATGTTAGTTTCCGTTATGTTTCCTCTTTTAAGAACTGTAAGACTTAAGTTCTAGTTACTGGTTTCATATGTTTATAGCCTATTTCATATAATTTAATATCTATATATATAGATATATATGTTTGTTATATACATGTTTATGTTTATGTTTATTTTATATAAATTTATATGGAGTTACTTAAATTTCAAATAATTTATAGTAACATTTTCCCTTTTGCTATTTCAACAAAAGACGGAAAAGTTAGCTTCAAGTATTTCACAACAGTAAACAGTCTTGGAACAGTTCTCCGCCCCCAAAATATTTGTGATTTTTTTCCCCCAGCTGATTACAAATGATTATCCTCTGAAGTGCAAGGAACTGAAAACTTAAAATCCTCATGCTGAATCACATTTTTGGCAATTTCATCTAAACCACAGGAAGTTTTCTAAAAATATCTGCTGAATGCCTCTCCCCCTGCTAAAACTAGTTGACAGTCGTGAGTTATAAAGAGGTAAAAGTCATTGGTGACTGTGTCCTGCCAGCTAGCAAGAAGTCGGTTATTTAATCCTTGAATGAAATCCCTTCTTTCTCTCTGGGCAAACCATCAATGTTTATTTGTTATTACAATATTCTTGTATAACACTACAGCTTACAAAGTACTTTCTCATGCATTACTGCATCTGTCCAGTAACTCTTGTCAAACAGTCAAAGAGAAAATTCTGTGTTTTTGAAATGTGGACACTGTTTCATGTTAAATAGTCTGTCTAGAGTCACAACAGGCAAGAGTCAAAGAAGAGATTCAAACTCTCCCTCTCAGAAACATCTACGTACTCATTTTAAGTAGGTCAAAGAAGTTCACCATTCCTTTTTGTCTTTTATTAAATAACATCAGAGAAATATTATCTTCCCCTTAAAAACAAATGAGTAATAAGGATCTGAAATTTCTATTTATGGTCTTAATGACAAATGACTTTAACAGAGAACACTAGTGCTAAAGGAAGGTAAAGACAGAGAAGGATCCACAAAACGTCACTACAACTAAGAGTACAGCAATCTTTAGTTTTTTAAAACTTAATGTGCCCACAACTCCTGGTCCTTATCTTATTCTTCTTCCCCAAATACTTGAAAATAACTTGTCTGAAAATTCTAAAATTATGGACCAGAAAAATACACAGTGTCCCAGTAATAGGACAACCAAAGAAACTCAATCCATGGTATTATTATAAAAATACAGGCACTGTTTAAAAACAAACAAAAAAACCCTCTGGAGTGTGCTTTTAGAATTGTGAATGAGACAACAAAAAGCAAACCTTGTAAAACAAGTCTTAGAAAATAAATAATTAAGGAATGGGTGTGTTTCCCTCACCACACCCCCATTCCCCAATAACATCACTAAGTGACTCTTCAAAAGAAATGAAAGAAAACCTACTTGAGAAGTCTTTAATTAGAGTAGCGGGAAAAAAAGACATATTACAAAGAACTAAGAACAATAATCAATGACTTTATTTCACTTATTTATATATATATGAAATAAAGTCATTGATTATAAATACATTTATATAAAATTTTTAAAAGACAGGGTCCTGCTCTATTACCCAGGCTGGAGTGCAGTGCGTACAATCTTGGTCCACTGCAGCCTGGCCTCAAGTGATCCTCTCAACTCGGCCTCCTAGGTAGCTGAGACTACAGACACATGCCACCATGGTTCGCTGTTTTAAATTTTTGTACAGATGGCGTCTTGCTAAGTTGCCCAGGTTGGTCTCAAACTCCCAGCCTCAAGTGATCCTTCCACCTTGACTGCCTAAAATTCTGGGATTATAGGAATGAGCCACTGTGCCCAGTCCCAATGTCATAAAGTACAAAAAAGAACAAGATAAAGGAAATTAGGGAGACCACTTGGCACTGGAGTGCCACTGGTTTTGTTCCAGGATTAAAATGAAATACGGAAAGAGCATTGCATCTGCTACTCCTAATAGAACGAACAACCTATTAGTGACCTCTATCAGTATTCTGGGTTACCTAGACATCTGAGACATACACAGAAAAGTTACAATTACCAAAATCACAAGCCTAATGATCAAGCATATTTGTAATGGTCAGTCACCTTACAAGACAGACTTTGTTACAAGTCTATACTCTTAGAACTTGGGGTATAAGGCATGGCTTACATTTCCAACATTTATAGATATAGAGAAAAGAGGAGAGAAAAGGCTGAGGTAGATCCCTAGAGATAGAACGTATTTGTAGATTCACTTTGAGAACAGTAATCTAAATAATCCATATAGATATGCAAGAGGCCTCAAGCTTTGAGGTCAGAGGGAAGAAGATCTTACCCTTTCTTTTATGAAATGCTAATTCTATCATTTTCTATCCTCCTCTCCCATGTCTCTCTCCTAACACATTCACTTTTTTTACGTTGTCTATATCTCACCTGGGCTTCTTCTATTTCTCCTTGCCCCATGAATCTTCCCTTCCTCTAACGGCATATAAATGTGTTTTACAATTCTATGATCTTGCCTTCAACTGTAAACTTCCAGTCCTTAAAAGCTGCAGAACTTGGTATAGAGGAAAAAAATGTCAAAGTCAAAAAAAAAAAAAAAAATTTAACCAGAGGTCAATCAGAAAATTGAGCTCCAGCTCTACCACTACCTATTTTTTGTGACCAGAGACAAATAATCTTCTGAAAGAAAAATGAAACCCTCCTAAATATTTTTATCTAAAATTTAGACTTGTAAGTATAGATTAGTAAAACTATAGTTTACTTAGTATAAAATAGGTACTCCATGGTTTTTCTACATGTTAAGGTACGAAATTAGAATGGGTAGTTTCTTAAGACATTCACCTTATTGTACAGTTGCTCACATTTCAATTTTATTTTTTGGAGTCAGAGTTTCATTACGTCACCAAGGCTGAAGTGCAGTGGGACGCTCACGGCCACCCCAGCATCAACCTGCTGGGCTTAGGTGATCCTTCTGTCTCAGCCTTCCAAGTAGCCAAAACTACAGGCACACGCCACCATGCCTGGATAATTTTATGATTTTATTGTAGAGATGAGGTCTCACCAAGTTGCTTAGAGATGATCTCGAACCTGTGGGTTCAGGAAATCTTCTTGCCTTGGCCTCCCAAGTGCTGGGATTACAGGCTTGAACCACTGCACCCGACTAAAGTCCAACTTTTTAAAAAATGTTTATTTATTCACATCAGGATACAAAAGTGCTACTTGAAATTCCTTTGTGTGTTCTTAAATCTTTTAATGTAAAGGTTCTTCCTACTTTTCCCTGCACCTTGTTAAAGAAAACCAAGTGATTTATCCTATAGAATAGTCCATGTTCTGAATTTTGCTGAATGCACCCTCAGTATCCTTCAACATGCTCCTTTGTGGTATTCATTTCTCATTAAAGGATAGGTTCAGGGGCTGAATCAGATTTCGGGGATTTTGTTTTTTGGCAAGACACTTCACAGATGCTGTTGGGTACCTTCCACTGAGTCTTATTAGAAGGCATATCATCGCCATCCTGATCCATCCTTACAAGGTTTCTCATTAGCTTTTCAACTAATAGCTTCAGTAGCCATTGATGATCATTGCTTAGATTCATCACTTTAACAGGAATTACAAAATGGTGACTTTCTAACTCTGCATTTAATTGAAATAATTCTATGTGCAGCATTCTACAAAATTTTCCCCTTATCATTTGATTACCCTGAGGTAAAGCAGGATGTTTCTTTTTCTCAAATTTACCAGTTTCAGAATAATTGCTCAGTATCCTTTCAAAAGTGGCCTAGTTGGTATGTTGTTTGGTTGCTGTTTGTGAATGCACACATTTACATATAACGTGCCACAATCCATATCAGTATTTTTGACAATCAGGAAATTGCTCCATTTATATATACAGCCAGTGGTTCAGAATCCCTATAGCCGAATCCAGAGTCTTTGAGGGAAAAAAACAAAACAAAACAAAAAAGTGATAGTTGAGTTTTTCTGCTTTGGTGATACTGAATCGGTACTGTTAAATTTTTAGATGTGAAATATTTTTCTTGTGCTTTGTTTGAAGAGAAAAAGCCTAGCGTGTACAATATGAATCAAATGACACTAGTATATTTCAGATTTGCTTCAAAATAAGCTGGGACAAGTAGACTGGCATACAGATAGGCAAGTTTGGCCATATGCTGCTAATTTCTGAAGTCAGTGTAATGATAGTTATACTATTGTTCATTGTATTATTCTCTTGCATATACACTTGAAAATATCCATAATAAAGTTTTTTTAAATCCCACTTTAGTAGTAAAGTTAAAAAAAGTCACTACACAAAAATTAAAAACAAAATACACATTTTAAGACCAGCACACACCCAACCAGATGGTTCCCAAAAAGTCCAACAAAATGCATGCAAGAGGAAAATAGTAGTAACTTATCTACACAAACTCCCTTCCCACTAAAAAATAAAAGATATTTGAAGTTAAGAGATAGTCTGAAAAAGTATGATTCTTGAAGTATTCTTTATTAAGATCATTAAAAGTTGTAGAAACAACTTTATATTATAAAGGCACAAGGAGACAGTTCTGATAAAATATTCAAATGAACAGTAACTTACAGTACAAAAGACAATTTTAATGCACATACAAACCCCAAATGTCTGATTCAAAAATATTTTACTGCGTCTATTAATGGGCAATGATTAAAAATATAAATTGCTGCCATATAATAAATATCTGATAGTGAATATCTTGATAGCAAAGTGAACAAAATATTTATTGCTTTTCACATACATATTTTTTCCCTGTAATTTTAAATTTCTAATTCTTTTACTATCATCCTCCTCAACCTTTTCCAAAGATAAAAGAAATTTTACATAATCTCATGGAGGGGAAATGGTAGTTATAAAAAAAACTACCTTAAGTAGCAATCACTGCTGGCAGTGTTTTCTCACTTTCTGTTCTGCAATCACAATCATTCTTCTAAAAAGTAAAATAAACCACAGACAGACATCCCAGCTGTGACTGCCATTCTAATGTTTATAATGAAATGTATCAAATATAAGAGGTGTTCTTTTTGAAAATGTATATTTGAAGTTTTGAATAAGAGGCAAATGTTTGACAAGTAATTTTACCTACTCCCTCAAAAATGTCCTAAAGTTGTAAAAAGTTAGTAAAATTTCCAGCACTTAAATGTTTCATTGAGGGCTAGTTGGTATATGAAATATACTGATGTATGAAAACATAATGCAAATATTTTATAATGGAGAGTTCTTACTCTTTTCCTTCCAATTTTTAAACTAAAATTAACTACTGATTTCATCCTCCTCTTTTTACAGCAACCTAGTTTTAGATGGTACAAGTAGAATCTCCATCACAACAGTAAAATAACATGAAAGCACCACCCTAATTTAATTAATGCTATTTCAACTTAGGAAATAAATACCTACATTAAAGTATTTGATAATCATTGTAAAGTTACTCAACCATACATCGTGTTCAGACATTGTGTAGCAGCTAGTAATGTGCCTAGCACAGAAATGATGTTCAATAAATAGTTGCTGAATAAATGAAAAAGAAAAACTTTACTTTGGTTGTGCATATTTTAATAACTTTCTGATTTAGAATAAGGTCAGTCTAGAACTCACTACAGCACACTACACAAAACTTTGATGTAAACAAAAGTAATAACTTCAAGCAGAAAATATTACCAATGTTAGTGATAGTCAACTTATATATTGTAACATTTTTTAAATAGCCCACAAATTTCACATTTGTTAATTTTTGTCCACATATTTAAATTTGACATTTTGATATTTAACAATTGGGTAAAAAAGACCAAGGTAGGCAGACTAGCTAAAGTGTCTGCTTTACAATAATAATTATTAGTTCATCAATAAATAAAAGGTTATGATGCCTGATTAAACTCAAACAATGCCTACTATATTAATTTTGCAAGACTACCAATGAATAACAGGTAAGGTACTTTTAAATTACATATTCTTGAAAGCGGCAGTTTGACTTTCAACATTAAAAAATAACCAGGGAGAATTTAATCATGGTAGACCTAAGGTACTGAAAGTAGGATGATAAGAATAAATAAGTAACCAATTCTATCTTAAATTCTAAACATGAGACTAGGTCTAATATTTCTTTGGCATATGCATTACTATCTCGGACTAGTTAGCATTTAAAAAATACTGGGTTATATATTTTTTCTGAGCCAAAATTTACATCAAGGTGTGGACTGCCAGTATGCTCTCCTTAAAGCCTTTAGACGTTTGCAACATATGCCAAACTTCATGTTTAGTGTACACTTATAGTTGGCACAGAGGGGTGTAACTGTTACCTGAAATGATATCATGCAATTGTGAAACCACAGAAGGTGGCTAAAAAAAAAGTATTTACATAATATAATATTTAGCTTTCTAAAGAAACATAGAAAACCTGGGAATCCTGCCCTAACAGTAAATATGTACCACATAGCACTGAATGAGAACCAGTCAAAATCTAAATGAACACCTACAGTAACCTGAATGTGTAAAATTCAATAAAAAACATAAAAATAGAAAAAAACCCTACACATCAGAAGAAAAAAATGGCCTATAAAACAGGCCAATCTAACTTGACATTCAAAGTAAATGCAAGAGATTCACAAAATCATGACAGTAATGCAAACTAAGTATCAGTACCCTTTGATACACAAGCCAATGTAACTATCAGATTCATTTCCAATAGCTTAACAATATTCATTAATCCACTCAGGCATTGGGGGCGTTGGGGAAAGCAGTTGATGATAGCTCAAGTCTCCAAAGTATAAGAACATACTTATTTGCAGAAGCATCATGTGACTTTTGGAGTAATGTCTTATTTTGATGGATGTTAACACAAGATCTATCAGTGCAAGTTTATCATCCTGTGAACTTAACACTTCCAAATTTCATTTTTCCAGATAGTTTTTGGTGGTTTTGTTTTAACCAGTGCTGTTTAAATGGAGAAAGGGAAAAACAAGTTCACCATAGACTACCTCACGTTGTTACTTAATTGTGCTAGATATTCACGCAGTTCTTTTGCAGCCTGGAATCTGCCATAGCGCTTCTTTGGGTTGGCACACTCATCCAGCAAGGCCTCGAGTCGGCCATCTTTGGCAATTTCACTTGGTGGATCATGAAGGAGTCCTCCAGAAGTGCCACGCCAGGTGGCATGTCTGGACAAGAGGTTTTGACAAACAGCATAATAATTATGGTCCACAGTGGCTCGAGCACAAAGAATTTCTTTTGAAAATGATAAGCAAGCCTCCTTATCACAGTCATCAAATTTGCTTTCATACCATACATCCCAATTTTCAGGTTTATCTGTGAAAGAGGGAAAAACAGAAAGAAAAAACATTTTCAAATAGAATTTTCATTGTTTCCAAAAATAGAACATTTCACCTATTAACATTATCTGTTCTATACTTTCATGTATTATTACAACTTGAAATATTCAGATACATTAATTCATACAAACATTTTTTTGGAAGCCTACAAATGCCAGGCAGAAGAATTGGACAAGGTCCCACCATCCTACCACTTATAGGTTCAGTCTAGTAACTTTCCATCACACACACAAAGTGCTATACATAAGTATGACACAATGCTACAAGAGTCATGAGGAATTAGCCCTTGGGTCTAGAGCTATATATAGTAGGCTGTCTAAAGGAAGAATATCTGATTTCGATCTTAAAAAATAAAAATCTGAAAAGAAACTAAAGAAAATAGCATTCTAGGTCCAGGGTACAGTATATACAAAAGCATGGACTTAAGGGATTGGTTTAGTTGGTTCAGGAAACAGTAATTCACTGTGACTAGAATGTGACAAGGTACCTAGAAAGGAGACAGAGATGAGGCTAGAGAAACAGGTTGTTACTTGTGTGATCATGACCATCATTTGTTTTATAGGAAGATAACTGGGCTGAGGACTGGAGGTACCAAGATGATGAAAGCAACTAAAGAAGGCCCAGGAAAAAAAGCCAGACTGGAGAAACACTATAGACAAAAATTAACAAGTATATGGGTAAAGTTTACGGTTCTAATTGAAGGTAGATAATACTGACATAATAGTGCCAATATAAAAATAAGTATTTTTATTCATTTAAAAATATATGTATGTATAAATAAATATAAAGCTGTAAGATATTCAGGTGGGCATGTCATATATACAACTAGAACTAGACTTGAAACGTATGACTTTGAGGTCAGAGATGTAATACACATATTTAGAACATATCAGCATGAACGTACTTAATGGTGCTAAAGCTTACAGGACAAACAGCTAGCTTATATGAAGAAATCATATACCAATCACAGTCATTTCATGAATTTGCCAATTAGGTGGTTGCTAATGGCAAAGCAGAAGTGTTAATGGGCTAAGGAATGAATGAAGGCTGAGGAAGGAGAGACAATGAAGCAATACTTTTAAAAACAGTTGACAAGCAAGAAACAGGAGAGGGTCTTATATACACTTGTTTATGGGGAGGTAAGAGAAATTAGATATTAAAGGAAGGAGATGAGATATTGAAGAAGTTAACAAGGCATGTTAGACAGAGGAAACTGCATATGGGAAAGTCCAGAAGTGGAAAGGTTCATTCAAGAAAACAAAAAAGCACTGCAGCTAAAGCATCAATAGCAATAAAGAGAGGAATATTAAAAATGTAGCAGAACAGGGCCAAGTCACACAGATTATGCCCTGGGTAAAGAGTTTGAATTTTACTTGAAGAATAATGGAAAGTCATTAAAACCATTTAGTCAAGGAAGTAATAAGACCAGGTTTAAGTTTTTAAAAAGTTACTATTCCAGTAGAAGGAAGCCAAAGGAAAGAACTTCAAGAAGTTGGTACTAATCACAGTCATTTCATGAATTTGCCAATTAGGTTGTTGCTAATGGCAAAGCAGAAGTCTAAATCAGGTGTTAATGAGCTAAAGACTGAATGAAGGCTGAGGAAGTAGAGAGGCAAGCAGTACTTTAAAAACAGTTGACAAGCAAGAAGCAAAAGAGGGTCTTATATGTACTTGTTTATGGGGAGGTAAGAGAAACTAGATATTAAAGGAAGGAGGTGGGATGTTGAAGAAGATAACTGATACAACAAGTTCTCAAAAAAGGATCTACTCTGTCTGAAAAAGAGATGAATGTGTGCTATTTTAACTAGATTTAGAAGATAAAGGACACTGAGGGAGTGTCCACAGCAAAATTTCAATTTCCTTGTGAAGAAATAAAATAAAGACCGTTTACTAGGAAACGAAAAGAAAAGAGAACGAGTGAACAGATAATGCCTTTTGCAAAGTGGCTATTTACAGAGCCCATAAGACATTTGAAAATAGTTAACAAGAGTTAAAGTAGCACGGGAGTGATGCTCATTGTATGAAATGCAAGAACACAGAGTATATGGGTGGATTCATCCAACCTCAGGAATTAGTTGATATAAAACCGTAACAACTATTCCAGGAAAGTCTGCATAAAATAAATTATAAAAAATAATTTTTACAAACACTAGAATAAGCCGGGCTCAGTGGCTCAGCCTGTAATCTCACGCCTCTGGGAGGCTGAGGTGAGTGGATTGCCTGAGCCCGCGGGTTCGAGACCTGCCTGGGCAGCGAGACCTCATCTCTACAATAAATCAAAAAATCAGCAGGGCGTGGTAGTGCACGCCTGTAGTTCTGGCTACTTGGAAGGCTGAGGCGGAAGGATCGCTGGAGCCCAGTAGGTCAAGGCTGCGGTGGCCGGGAGCGGCCACTGCACTCCAGTCTGGGCGACAGAGTGAGACTCCAACTCAAAAAACAAACAAATAAACAAACAAAACACTGGAATAAAATTTTTTTTAAAGTCTGGTCAAACTGCACAACTCTGTGAATATACTAAAAACCACTGACTTGTACAGTTTAAAAAAGAAATGCATAATGTAGGCTGTTACAAAATCAGGGCATAGGACGAGGTAAAAGTGGGGAGGAAAATACTCCAACAGGGTGCTTACTCCCTGAAGGAGGATCTACACGGCCAAGTCAAGAAAGAATCATAAAGTAAGTTTGGTGAGTACAGAATGAGAACAAGGCAGTGGGAAAAATCAAGTGTTTTCAATCGGACCATGCTAAAATCATGCCAAAAAGTTAAGTGTCGATCAAATATACTGCCGTCACATTAACTACATTTCCCAGGTGTCACAGATTTTTAGCATCCGTTTATCAAAAGATCTGTATATCCCTTATGTCAGAAGATAAAAGAGAATTAAAAATATAAGATCCTCACCATGTAGCAACAACCCTTCGGTTTCTTTTTCTAACTGAATTAGTTCTAGAACTAAAGGCTTTGTCCTTGGCATTTAATTTTCAACACACTTCAGACACTGTCCACCTATCCTGTGAAGAACTCACAAATAAATGGAGAGCAAAGTTTCTGGTGAGATGTAATAATCAGAACATCAAACAAAAGTCAGATGTGCAGTGCTAGGAACATCAAAATGGTTTAAACAAAACCAAACCATCAGTGTAGGGACCCCACAGAACAACAAAATATAGAACGTCTCTGTAAGAGATTCCATAGAAAAATGAGGCCTCCATAAAAGCAGTACCATCAATCAGGTAGCTTGTAACAACATAAACTTAATTCTACATTGAACTCCTAAACCACAGCTTATAACACACAGTATGCAAAAGATGTGTATATACGTACACGTATACACACACACACACACACACACACACACACACACACACAGACACACACACACACACACGGAATATACTTGGGTCCCTTTGAATCCAAAGGATTTTTTACTAAATATGGAGAAACTGACTAAGAGTGCAAGTATAAAGACAGAATGAATTAGTACAGATGGCCCTTGACTTATGATGATTAAACTTACAACTTTGACTTCATGATAGTGCAAAAGCAATGCACACTAAGTAGAAACTGTACTTCAAGTACTCATACAGTCATTTTGGTTTTCACTTTCAGAGAGTATTCAATCAATCACATGAAGACTATAATGAATATAATTATTTTCCAGTTTATTATCAAATAGCCTTTATGTTAGATGACTTTCCCCCAACTGTAGGCTAATGTAAGTGTTCTAATTAAGGTAGGCTATACTAAACTATGATGGTCCATAGGTTAGGTGTAATACATACACTTTTTACTTACAATAATTTCGATTTACAATGGGTTTATTGAAAGGTAACCCCAATGTAAGTAAAAAAGTATCTTATTTACTGGCAGTTGTTATATAAACAATGAAAGATGCAAGGAATCTAATGAAGAAATTCAAGGCATACTTCATATAAATACAAACATTATTTTGACATAGGAAAAATATGTAGAAAAGAAATACAGAAGTTATATACTTACTCTGTCGAATTAATCTTTTGTCAGCAACCAAAACATTTTCAGCATCCACAATGATTACCTTCCCATCTCTAGGACCAACTGCAAAATTGTCAAAGCTGACGTCCAGGAGGTAGAGTGCAAATTCAAAGTCATTGTTTGTAAGCTGTTCTGCTATTTCCATCAACTGCCAAGCGAGGTCAACTCGTTTCTCCCATGGTGCATTAAAGTAACTCCACAATTCTTCTCCAACATAATTTACAGCCACCATTCTTCCACAAGCTCCCAAATATTTTGCAAATGGCCAACCTTCATCAGATGGAAAACTCTACAAAAGAATTACCTTGGTATTATAAGAGAGTCTGATGAAAATATTCTGGGTCTATCCTCATATTCTTTCAGTGGAGATTGCTACTAGGAATGAGTTTGAATTTTCTTATTATATTCAGTTCATTAGAGATAACCTTCATGTTTTTTCTAACTCATACCACTAAGACCTGGGGAAAAAAAGTTAGAGAACTTAATATAATAAAGTTAAAATGTGATTAAACATGCTTATCAAAATCTCAGAACCAAATTGATCAATAAAAGGCAAGGCAATGTCTTCATTATCAATAGTAAAAGAATGTATGTTTCCTTATCTTCTTGACTTGTGTAAGTGTTATCAATCAATCTTTTGCATGAACAGCACTGTGTTATTTACCAGGCATCAGGCATTGTGTTATGCTGGCAACACAAGTGAGCTAAACAGTTTCTGTTTAGCCATTCACTTTTATTTTAGAAGAGCATACAGATACCAAACAAGTAATTATGACATGATAAATGTTAGTTACAGGTCCCAGGGAAGCACTTAATAGGGACTTTACCTAGTCCAGAAGCAGGCAGGGGTGGAATTCAGGGAAAGATTCTTTGAAGGTGTCTTTTCACCTATATCCAAATGTTGGGAAGGACAAACTGATAACCTATGAATGCCGCCTCCACTCTGAGCAACTTTAGTTCGAGTTCACCTTTTTTCCATTTCCCAACCACTATATTTTCTGTTCACCTTGGCAGAACTTCAAAATTATTTGTTCTCCTCATCTTAGCAAGGTTTTCTAATCAATTTTAATAAAAATATTTGAAGGATTATCACCCCAAATCAAAAGAAAAATCTTCTATGACTATGAACAAGTTATTTTCAACTTAAATAGCAGGCTTTAATGAAGATACTTTCCACCACTAAAATGCACAGCCGCAAATTGAGCATCAGGGAAAAAAGGATGGGAAGTAATGTTTTAAACAACTTCTTCTTAGATAAAATCATGACCAGAGGCATGTTTTAAGAGCCATTCCCTCAGTTCAAAACCTTTACTTAAGTGTGAAAAAAAATTTTAAGATGAAGTTTACACAACCATCACACAGGGGTGTGAAGATGGATTGGGAAGATAATATTAAGTGTAATTTTACAACAAAACACTACAAATACAGTCATACCTCATTTTATTGTGCTTTGCTTTATTGTTCCTGGTGATATTGCATTGACAAAGTGAAGGTTTGTGGCAACCCAATGTTGAGGAAGTCTGAGTGCCATTTTTCTAACAGCATGTGGTCACTTTGTGTCTCTGTTTCACGTTTTGTTAATTCTCACAATTTTTCAAATTTTTTCATTATTTGGTATGGTAATCTGTGATCTTTGATGTTAGTATTGTAATTGTTTTGTAATTTGATGTTAGCATTAGAAATGTAACAGATTTTCAGATGAACCACATCCGTATAAGACAGCAAACTTAACTGATAAATGCCGTTTGTGTTCTGACTGGCTCCACTGACCAGTCATTCCCCATCTCTCCCCTCTTCTCAGGCCTCACTATTCCTGGAGATAACAATATTAAAATTAGGCCTATTAGTAATTATAAAATGGCCTCTAAGAGTTCAAGTAAAAGGAAGAGTTGCAGGTCTCTCACTTGAAATCAACAGCTAGAAACAATTAAGCTTAGTTAGAAAGGCGAAAAGCCAAAAGCAAGGCCTTTTGTGCCAGTTAACTAAGTTGTAAATGCAAAGAAAATCCTTAAAAAAAAATTAAAAGTGCTGCTCTGGAACACACAAAAGATATGAAAGTGAAACAGTATTATTGCTGATATGAAGAATCTTTGGGTGGCATGGACAGAAGATCAAACCAGCCACAACATTCCCTTAAGCCAACGCCTAATCCAGAGCAAGGTACTATTGCTCTTCAATTCTATCAAACTGAATTGCTGAGAAATGCAGAAGCTGAAGAAAAGTCTGAAGCTAGCAGAGGTTGTTTCATGATGTTTAAGGAAAGAAGTCAATTCTGTAACATAAAAGCACAAAGTGAAGCAGCAAGTGCTGGTGCAAGTTATCCATAATATCTATCTAAGTAAGGTAACTAAAGAAGGTGGCTACCCCTAGGCAACAGATTTTCAGTATCTACGAAACAGCCTTCTACTAGAAGATGACATGTAGGACTATCACAGGAAGAGAAGAGAAGTCAATCCCTGGCTTCCAAACTTCAAAGTAAAAGCAGACTCTCTTGTCAGGGACTAATGCAGCTGGTGACTTAAAGCTGAAGCCAATGCTTATTTACCATTCCAAAAATTCTAGGGCCCTTAAGAATGATGCTAAAATAGACTCCGTTTGTGCTCTATAAATGGAACAACAAAATCTGGGTGACAGCACATCTGTTTACAGCATGGTTTACTGAATATTTTAAGCCCACTGTTGAGGCCTAGTACTCAGAAAAAAGATTTCTTTCAAAATATTACTGTTCATCGACAATGCACCTGGTCACCCAAGAGCTCTGATGGAGATGTACAAGGAGAATAATGTTGTTTCCATGCCTGCTAACACAACAACCATTCTGCAGCTCATGGATAAAGGAGGAATTTTGACTTCAAGTCTTATTATTTAAGAAATACACTTCATGAGGTTATGGCTACCACAGACAGTGATTCTTCTGCTGGTTCTGAGGAAAGCTGAAAACCTTCTGGAAATAATGCACCATTCTAGATGTTATTAGGAAAATCTGCAACACATAGGAGGTCAAATTACCAACATTAACATGAATTTGTTCGATTCCAAAATGGGCAATTCCAGCCCTCATGGATAACTTTGAGGGGTTCAAGACTTAGGAACAAAGAAACTACATAATTGGTAGAAACAGTAAGAGAACTAGAATTAGAAGGGGAGCCTAAAGATGTGTGAGACTGAATTGCTGAACTGTCATGATGAAACTTGAACAGATGAGGAGTTGCTTCCCTATGGATAAGCAAAGAAAGTAGTTTTTTGAAATGGAATCTACTCCTAGTGAAGATGCTGTTAACACTGTTGAAATGAAAACAAAGAACTTAGAATATTATATAAACTCAGTTGATAAACAGCAGCAGAGTTAGGACTGACTCCAATTCTGAAAGAAATTCTACAGTGGGTAAAATGTTATCAAATGGCATGGCAAGCTACAAAAAAAAAATTCTTCATGAAAGGAAGAGTCAATTAATGTAGCATATTTCACTGTAGTCTTATTTTAAGAAACTGTCACTGTTACCCAAACCTTCAGCAACCATCACACCGATCAGTCAGCAGTCATCAACACTGAGGTAAGGCCTCCATCAGCAAAAAAGATTACGACTTGCTGAAGGCACAGATACTTGCTAGCATTTTTAACAGTATTTTTAAATTAAAGAACGTCTAATTTTTTAGACATAATGCTACTACATACCTAATAGACTACAGCATAATGTAAACATAACTTTCACATGCACTGGAAAACCAAAACATTTGTGTGACTTGCTTTATTGCAATATTTACTTCGTTGTGGTGGCCTGGAACCAAACCCACAACTCTCTAAGATATACCTCTATCAATGTGCCTACTTCCACTGCTAAAAACTGAACAATTTGCTTATATTTAAAGACCTAGAGATGTGGCTCTTCTTCTTGAACCTCTTAGAAAAAACAAGAAATATTAATTTTACCCAAAGCTTTATATAACTGTCAAAATTCAATAATATCCTTGCATTAAAATTATCAACTTTAAAACAAAAAATATTTTTAAAACTAAACTTCATCTATGACTTATCTTCAGTTACTCTCTTTCAACTCTATCAATGCATAGTAACTCTACTTGTTCTTTGTGTATATATCTTTTAAATTTTAAATTTTAATATATACAGCTTTCTAATAAAACATTAATTATGTAAATGAAAAATTTAGATTATGAATCTTTAATTATAGTAAGTTAATTAATTCAATTTTAGTTAAGAAACTATCTACTGATTCTTTATAAATTAGAAGTAAACACATTTTTCATCTTCTACCTGAAAATTTTAAAAATTTATTTTGGGTATTAGAAAAAAGTGATAGATTGCTCATATCCAATGTGTAGTGCAAAAACTTTTTGCTAACCACAAACTATTCTTAACTTTACTCCCCCCAATTTAAGATATCTCCATGACCTTGAAATTTTAGTTAGACAAAGTAGTATGAACGATTTAACTATCTCCCAAAAGCATTTAGTATAAAGTTTCAGACATAAAAATGAAAGCACTAAAAATAAGTAATATTTGAGTTTAGATAGTTTTGTCATGCAGAAAATAAAACAAAAAACTCCTCCATACCCTATTGGTATATTATTAACATGCCATATTGTAGAATAGATACAAACATATCTTTGTGAAAATAAAACGGTCTTTGACAACAGGAGAAAAGGGAACCCTGCCAACATCTGCACATGTACAAATGCCTCCTTGTTTTTGGAGCCCTTCCAACTGGCAAACGACAGTCAAATATACACTTCATTACCCAAGTCCCTTATAGAAGAGGGTAAAATATATGAACAAATGTCACATTGAGCAACTTTATATTCATATAGTGTTTTCTGACAATGTTAACAAATCCTGCTATGCCTCATTTTAAGAAGAGCACTTCAGTTCTTTCATATAGTTTGCTACCTAATCTTGTGGAAGAACTTTAATAAATGAATTCACACCATTTTCTCAGATAACAAGAATTTTTCATTGTCTAATCAAAATAGTCAGATTTCATTACTGAGAACAGAATTCTATTGAAAACACTATAGAACACAGAAAATCCTCAAGGAAAGGAAAATATTTGTCATTTGCACCTAAAGCAATTCTGGCTTAGAACCAAAATACCATGGTCAAGCAGTCTGAGAGACAAAATTTTTAAATGTTACAGCTTGGATTCGCTAAATGTGTCAAGCAATAAGAAAAAAGTTCTTCCTTATTACTTCCCACAGAGCATAAAAAGCACAGTAGCTAAGATGGTAAGTTTACTGCTGAGGTCTACATTTTTCTATTTAAAACAAAATTTA